TCCTTCCTTCCTTTTCTTCCTTTCCTTTCCTCCTTTTCTTCTCCCTATCCTTCCCTTCCCTTCCCTTTCTTTTCCTGGTCCTTAGAGATATTGAGAGGTGGGGTATGCACATCCCTAAAAATTCTGTTCCACTTGAAATCTGAAGTGTTGCATATTCTGGGTGACTGCTAACTAGGCCATTAAAGGTCTTTTTCCACAGACAAATTTTTCTTTTCTCTTATTTTCAGGTTGGAAAAAGTATACAACCTGTCCAAAGAGCACCTGGCCTCAAAGAAACCAGCAGCACAGCCAAGTAAGATGTTTGGAGAACCGGAGACAACTAGGTGGAAGGTAGCAAAAGGTCACAGAAGACTAAAATGATGTTTGCAGAGGCTGGTTTGGCTTCGATTCAGTCGATCCTGCTATGGCAGCTTTTTAAGACAACCATGGTTGAATAAAAAACCGTAGCTTACCACAATGTCATTTGTTTAGGTTTAGTGCACAAGACCTTGGAGGAAAGCGAGGTGTGTGATGGCGGCTGAACAATTCAAGAGCTATTTTTAATAAATGAAATCCTCAAAAGTGGTCCTTTTCTTAACGATTTCCTATGTACTTTACATCTAGGTAGAACAAAGTTCTTCCCATGATCTTGGCCAAACTAATCCTGGTTCTTGTTTTAACCGAGCTAAGCCTGGTTCCTCCAAAGATGCTTTTTCAAGAGGCAATTGGACTTTTTGGTTGTTGTTTTTTCCTTTGAAGACATTTCGATTCTCCTCCAAAAAGCATCTTTGGCTCTGAAAAAGCTTCTTGGAGGAGAAGTGAAATGTCTTCAAAAGAAAAAAAAAAAACCCAATTGGCTCCTGAAAAATAAGCAACCCTTGACCTTGGATTACTGAGAATCTCCCTAGAGCACTTAACCCTGGTTCTCGTTCTCATTTCCACAGTGGCTCCAGTGGTGATTTCTGGGGAGCAGAGGGTCAACTTGGCCAAGTCCAAAGTCAACCAGAGCTACAGCCAGTTGGACCAAGACCACCGAAAGAGGAAAGCCGAGAGCAGGTTGGACGAGTCTCCTCACCCAGTGGGCCTCCTTGGGGTCAGTATCAAGGAGGAACCGGTCAGCGACGAAGAACCGATGGAGACCTCCATCCCTGAGAATCTCAATAATGGACTGGTCAACGGGATCCATTTGGAGGATAGCCTGGACTCCATCAATGGCCACATGCCAGTTCCGGAGAGGGTCACCGAGGAACTGCGAGCTTTTGTGGCGGCCACATTTAAGAAACAATATGTCCTGACTCTGAACGAGCTTAAACGGTTATTTAACCTTCATCTGGCTGGTTTACCTCCTGGGAATCTTTTGTTCAGTGGGATTTCGGACAAAATGTTGCAAGACATGGTATTGGACGTAGGCTGCAAGCAGATCATGGTGCCTGTAAGTGGATCTTTTCTCTTGTGCAATTACTTTTAGAAGTGAATCTTTCTACTACCTGTATTAAAGTAGTAGTTTCTAAATTATTTTCATGCATCGTTTGGGTGTCTGTGTCAATGAACAATCTAAAACTTGAAGGAGTTTATAAACTGAAGAGTTTTGGGGGACGCCTGGATTAAAAATTAAAACTCCCCCAGCACAGGTAAGTCCTTGATTAACAACAATTAGTGACTGTTTAGTTTAGTTACGACTGTTAAACTGTTTAATTTTGTTACAACGACACTGAAAAAAGTGACTTAGTTAGTTTGCTTTATTGTTATTGCACCTTGTACAACAAAATCAAACACCATCTTCAGTGCACATTATGACCATGAAAACAAACACAAGCATACATCCTTCACACTCTATACGTTGAATTGAAAACCCCTGGTATTGCATTAATGTCGCAGTATACAGTAGAATTCAACAGAGCTACTGCCCTGGGATAAAAGCTGTTTTTCAGCCTATTTGTCCTTGTTTTTATTATTCTGTACCGTCTGCCAGACGGTAATAGTTAAAAAAAAAGGGGGTTCCCAGGATGAGATGGATCTTTGAGAATCTTTTGAACTTTCTTAAGGCAGCGGGAGCTACAAAGCTCTTCCAAAGAGGCGAGAGGGCAACCCATGAACTTCTGGGCAATGACACTAACCCTCTGGAGTGCTGTCCTATCTGCCCCTGTGCAATTGGCAAACCATACAGAGGTGCAGTAAGTTAAGATACTCTCTATAGTGCAGCGGTAGAAGGTCACCAGCAGTTTTTCATTCCGTTGTTTTCCTGAGAAGGCTCAGGTAGTATAATTTCTGCTGGGCCCTTTTGACCAGGGCTGCAATGTGAGCACCCCAGGTCAGGTCCTCTTTTAGGGTAACACCCAGAAACTTAAAACTGGCCACTTGCTCCACTCGGTCTTTTCTCTTGTTGTGCAATTACCTTTAGAGGTGAATCTTTCTACTACCTGTACTAAAGTAGTAGTTTCCAAATTATTTTCATGTATCATTTGGGGGTGGGGTGTCAATGAACAATCTAAAACTTGAAGGAGTTGATAAACCAAAGAGTTTGGGGGATGCCTGGATTAAAAATTAAAACTCTCCCAGCATAGGTAGTCCTTCACTTCCAACAATTCATTTAGTGACTGTTTAGTTTAGTTACGACTGTTAAACTGTTTCATTTCGTTACAACGGCACTGGAAAAATGTTTTTTTTTTTCCAATGAGTCAAGTTGCCAAGCCTCCAAATTTAAATCTTGTGACCACGAGGATGCTTAAATGGTCATAAGTGTGAAAAACGGTCCTAAGTAAATTTTTTCGGTGCCGTTGTCATGAATGAACTATTGGAAGTCAAGGGCAGTGCCTGTATGGGATCTGAGATCCATCCAAATATGGAAACATCCAGTGGATTAAACTTCTTAAAAACATGAGTAATAAGAACCTGAGCTTCACAGCTTGTTTCAGTGAAACTTTTCTGTTTGTGTTCCTGGAATTTACCTGAAGCCATTTTGTCTGCAAGGGGGGTGGGTGGGAGGAGATAGTAACTGAAGTTCATTGGTGGAGTAAAAGGGCTGTTGAGCAGACAGGTTGTGATTTATAACAGGACCTGAGCAAAATAAACAGGAATAAACTATAAGGCAGTGTCAGAAGCTAAGGCAATTTTGGTTGTGAGTCACAGCTTTGAAGCAAGCAAGTTTCCAAACTGGGAGACATTTTCTTTTGCTCCCTGTAACACTAGATTACAATAATGTTGTTGTTGCTCTGTCTGCAGTTGCAAATATCCTAGGGGGAAAAAAAATCTGCAGCAAGCAATTGAGAAACAGGATTTTCTGCTTTTTTCCACCCTCCTTCCGGCTTCTCCTTTTACTGGGTCTGATTATGCATGCTGGGCTGTCAGCAACCTAAGCCATGATCAGGGCGAAGACCTCAGATGCATGTATAATGAACTACACAATGCCCATATTTAAGTGGGCAGCCGTGCTTAAAAATATTCAGGTTGCTCAGGTCTTACAATTTGTCAGTTATGGTTGTCTTTAAAAAGATAGTTTTCTTGCAGAGTTGAGGTGTTGGAAACATCACAAGCTTCAAGTTTTTAAGCAAACCACGGATCTGCTAAGGAGGACGTGATCTTGTTCGGTGTGTTTATTGAATTTTTTTTTTTAGTTTCCCCCACAGACCACAGCGTTGCCCGACGAACAAAAGGTGTTTGCACTTTGGGAAGCTGGCGATGTTTATGACCAGGTAGGCAAGAAAACTAGAACTATTCTCCTGGCAAAGTTTTGCACGTTAAAAGTTACTCTCTAACTTGGAAGTTAGAGAATCTTCCGAGTGGAAATCAGGTGCTCTAAAGCAGTGGTTGCCAACCAGTGGACCGGGGACCACTGGTGGTCCGTGATAAAATTTTGGTGGTCTCCATTGTCACCTGCAAAGCATCCCCCAAAGCAACTAATCCAGGCTGCGTAGGAACACAAGGCTTGCATCGCTTGCATTGCGAACACTAGGTAGTGAGGAGAGGAGGGAAAGGGTGGAGGGGGAACTCGCCCCACACGCCCCATGTACCTGGCCTGGCCACCGGGCTGCTTCTTTCCGCTTCTTTCTTCTTATGCTTTTGGCTGTGCGCAAGGAAAGCAGCAAAAGTCTTTCTTTCTCTCCCCCAAACTCCGCCAGAAATGAGTCTTTGAGACCCTGCAAGGCCTCCTGCTCCAAGAGGCTGCGCCGGTGTGACAAGTCTCACAAAGACTTATTTCTGGCGGAGTTTGGGGAAAGAAAGAAAGACTTCTGCTGCTTTCCTTGCATGAAGCCAAAAGTCTCTCTCTCTCTCTCCCCCTGAGAACGGAACTGGAGACAGTATCCTGCGATCCCAAATAAAGAACAATCGATTGGTAGGAAAACGGGGTGGGGAATTTTCCTGCAGACTTTTGGGGGATTTTCCCAGGATCGCTGGTCAGCGGGATTAAAAATTATGAGTTTGGTGGTCCCTGAAGTCCAAAAGGTTGGCGACCCCTGCTCTAAAGCAAGGATGTCTAACCTTGGTAATTTTAAGACTTGTGGACTTCACCTTCCAGAATTTCCAACACGCTAAGCAACACGATTCTTCAGTGTTTTGCATCTGATTTTACAATCTTCTTTTGCCACAGTTGTTAACCAAATCACTGCTGTTAAGTGAAGTGCATGGTTGTTAAGCAAATCTGACTTTCCCCATTGATTTTCCTTGTTGGGAAGGTCACCAGTGGCAATCATATGAACCCAAGATGCTGCAGCCATTGTAAACACATGCCGGTCAGCTTAAATTAATAAGTAAATTCAGCAAATGAAGCCAACGTTTCTTTCTATCAATTCTGATTTAATATTTCTCACGCTTGGTATTTTTCTTGCTGTTTCTGTCTTTTTTTCCTCAAGCACCGGCAAATTTTGCTTGAAATCTTTTCCAAAAATTACCGTGTGCGTCGAAACATCATCCAGAACCAACTGGCCCAGGAGTATGGCGAAGAACTAGACAAACAGGAGGTGGATAAAGTTTTGAAGGTAAAGTTTTACTTATGTTTAAAGCAGTGTCTGCAATGTAAACGCTCTGGACTCTGTTTAACTGTTGATTGGACTGTCATTCATGGTGGACTCTAAACCAATGGTCACCGACCAGGGGGCCGGGGGCCACTGGTGGTCCACAAGAAAAATTTGGTGGTCCGCAGATTTAAAATTATGAGTTTGGTGGTCCCTGAGGTCCAAAAGGTTGGCGACCCATGTTCTAAACAACAACATAAATCAAAGGTGTCCAACCTTGGCAACTTTCGGACTTGTGGACTTCCAACTCCAGAATTCTCCAGCCAGCATAGAAATCAAATATAAATACAGGTAGTCCTTGACCTATGACCACAATGTGAAACATTTATTAATTAACTTTTGCCTGATTTGATGCTCTCTCTTGCCACACTTGTTAAGTGAATCAGTGCAGTGGTTAAGTTAGTAATCTGGTCATTAAGTGAATCTGGCTTTTCCTCTGACTTCGCTTTGTTGGAATGTTGCAAAAGGGGATCATGTGACTGCAATCGTCATAAATACGAGTCAGTTGACAAGCGCCTTGAATTTTGATTACATGCGCCAGGATTCTGACACTTAACCCCGTTTAAATCATGAGTCTCTAGCCAAACTCCAAAAAAGATTTATTGGGAGTTAATGTGCCAGCACTGCCTGGGTGTAGCTGACTCTGAGACATCACTCATTGTCACCTTTGACCCTGGTTTACCCCCACCCCCTGGGTGTATCATAATTCATATTCTCCAACGGGACACATCCATAGCCCAGAGTCACCTATCATGTTCTCCAGTTAGAATTTTTTGCAGCAGAAACTTCAATCACCTAGAAACTATCTTTGAAAAACATTTATGGAATGCAAGCTTCCACACTTCTTCCCCCTTCCTTTCTGTTGGCAACTCTAAAAAGACCACAGAAATATTTTATGAGTTGACAACATGATCCTAGGGATGCTGCAGTGGTTGTAACTGAAAAATGGTCATAAATCCTCTTTTTTTAGTACCATTGTAACTTTGAATGGTCAGTAAACAAACTTGTAAGTTGAGGATTATCTGTGATGACCCAGAGTATCTCAGAAATATAACAAAAACCAAAACGTAACTAAAAGTCCTTTAATGCCTTCAGCTTGGCTTCACTGTTTCATTGTTCACAGTGGAGGAGGAGTAAACTATTTTCAAAATAACATTTCAAAGGAAAGAAACGCAGTTCAAATTCAAAGAGCCGATAACGAAGCAAAAGCCAAAAACAAACCGGACTGAATAAAGTTCCACGACAGACCAGGATAGATAATTGCCAACTTTAGGGAGATAATGAGGGACAGTCCGTTGGAAGAACGCCAACCAAGATAAATCTTCTTTAGGAATAAAACACTTTAGTCTACGCAGATCCAAACTCTTATGCAGATCTCACACCTGCAGCCCATGAAGAGGATCGTGGCCCTCTCCTCCCAAGTAGACCACATTTTACCCTGATCCTCTCCTCCCTGCGTGCCCTAGGATGGATAAGGGATGGGCCTGGGTTCTTCTCTGACTGCTCAGAGTCCGTCTCCACCAGGGGCATGACGCTATCTGTGTTTTTCTAAATAAATCTATTTATTTCTGTTTCTAAATTTGTATGGCCGCCCACAGTCACTGACCCTGGGCAAAAATAAACGACACAGAGCAGCCCTTCTGTTTTAGAGGCGAAACTTAAAATCACTCTGAGAACCTGTACGTACCTGCGCATCTACTTATAATTCTGAACTGAACTAAGGGTGTGTATTTAGCGTTACGATAGCCCAAGGAAGATTCTCATGGGACGCGGCCTTTTATGTTCACCCTTTTTCCCCCCGAGTCTCTTGTGTAACAGAACTGCTGGTTGACCTGAAGCGCTGGGAGGAATTTTTAATTAATTTTTTTTTTTCTATATTTGGTGAAGCAACACAGAAGCTGCCCTGGGTTGCACTCCTGCAAAGGTATCGGTGTTCCCAGGTCTCTAGGTTGACCAAACTCGTGGGGTTGATCCCTGATCCCTTTCGTTAGTTGCAGCTGGGAGAAGAGGATATAAGTGCGGCGTTTGCACTCAGCTCCTTTCTGGAAGCAAAGCGTGCATTATCTTTGTTGAGGCTTATCTGGGTTTTGACATCCTCCCAACTGTGGTTGTTGCATTATCTTGTAGAAGTGTGCAATTTATCATCCTGGCCTGCTGTGTTAATTACTTCAGTGTGATTTGTGTTGGTTTTTTTTTTTAATTTCTAATTATCTTTACTTTGGGTTCGGACTGCATTTACTCCCTTCACAGAACTGTTTTTGGAAGAGTTTAATATCCAGGTGAGGATAATTAGACATTGGGGGCCAAGTTGGAGGCATTAAAGGGAATTTATTCTACTTTTGTGACTTAGTTATTTTTGTGTCACGCCCGGGTCATCACAGCGAACTTCAGTCTACGCCAGTCATGGTATTTAAATGGGTACCTGGTTGTTTGTGGCTTTTGAGTTGTTGAATTGGGATTGTCCTTCAGATCTGAATGCTGTCTAGAATAGATACCAAAAGTCAGAGTGATTTAGGGCTGTTGAAGAGACCGCAGAGCCCAGATGTTTGCAAAAAAAAGCAGCTGGCACGTGTCTCTGTTTGCTTTCATCTGTGGGGCATGGTGTTAATTATTTAATAGCAGCAATTAGCAACTTCTTGTTTTTGGAGGGACCTGTCATCACGCTTCCAGGCAGATAGGGAGCTAAAAGCACTGTGCGTTTTCAGACTTTTTTTTTTCCCCAGAGGTGAGAAATGAGATCTCATCAAATCCCCTTGGAAATGTTTGAAGGAGGCTTGTTTATTGTCTCTGAGGATCCCTGAATATCAGTCATTGCCTTGACAGCACCACAATATTTTATTTTTTTATATATATACAGATATTTCTCTCTTTGGGCACAATGAGAATATATCTGCCAGAAAAAAAAACCTCTGCATTGGCAACAGGAAGGGCATCCGGCCAGTAAACACTCGGCTCCATTCAGTTGCCCAGTCTCCACAAGGAATTATGGGGTCGCTATAAGAAGACGATGATAAATAACTGCTAAATGAGTCCACAGATTTATTGATCTTCTCTACTTGAAGCTGGAGGTTGTCCTGAATTTTGTAATTACCTCAGATCAATGTTTCCTCAACCGTGGCCATTTTAAAGACACACGGACTTCAACTCCCAGAATTCCCCAGCCAACCTTCTATTAGCACCAGATCAGTTCTAACCCTGGCTGTCTTTTGGAAGCATCCTTAAACCAGGACCTACCTACCTACCTTCCTTCTTTCCTTCTCTTCCTCCCTCCCTCCCTCTTCTCATTACCATCTTCCTTCCTTCCTTCCTTCCTTCCTTCTTTCCTTCTCTTCCTCCCTCCCTCCCTCTTCTCATTACCATCTCCTTCCTTCCTTCCTCCCTCCCTCCCTCCCTCCCTCCCAGGTTGTGGTTGTATAATTTGCAATGGAAACGGTGCGTGAAAATCTGTGGGGGTTTTTTGGTGTTTGTTTTTGAAAAGCCATGAATGCTAGTTGGGTTCAACTCTTTGTTTTCCACGGCTTCAAGTTGCTGCAGAATGTAAATTCAGGGCAAGCTTGTTTGATTGCAACCGAACGTCTGACCGGTTTCTTCCTTTTCCTGCAGGATTGTTGTGTAAGCCAAGGAGGCATGTGGTACCTCAAAGGGACAGTCCAGCAGCCAACTTCTTGACGGTGGGAGTCGCTTTGGTTGCATCTGGTTTCATCCCGGGATGAACAAAGAAACAAAGGAAGACTGCCGTGCTAGCTAATTCGCAACGACATTCAAACCACTAATCCTGGTTGGACTGGGGAATCTGTATATGTTCCCCTAACTTCACTTGGATCCCTAAATATCTATATTTCTCAATCTTACTTAGGACACAACTACGACATGAACAATCCTTATTAGGGTGGCTGAACCGTTTTATGAAATCATGATCAAACGGTTCATTTTATAATGGGTGCCAATAAATTTCGAGTTTGCAGGCGGAGATCCGGATTTCATCTTTACGCGGTACGGTCTCCTTTCCCATCGCTGCCCCCCTCCCCTCTGAGGTTTCTTTGTGTAACCGTGGGCACCTCTTGGAGGGCATGGCATCGGTTGGTTCAGTTCTGAGTTTCATAAAACTCGCCGGATGCAGAACAAACCTTCTAACTGGTTTTAAACTACCCTGTTTCCTTTTTCAGAGGTGGCTTTGTTCAGATTTAACAATGCAGGCTGGGTCTCCATTGCAGCTAAACCCAGTCATATATTCCCCACCCACCACTCCTGTTTTCTGTAATGAAGCAGGTGGCATTCTTGCTTTGCACGGGGTCGGGCAAAAAGACACTTCAGTGAAGTTGGCATAGGGCAGTGGTGGCTAATCTTTTTGGGCTCCTGTGCCAAAAATTGCGCTCGCGTACCAGCACCCAGAGGCAATATGTGCGGGCTCCCTCCCCCATGCCCTACGCGCATACGTGTACAATTTCCCCCCGGCGCCCTTTTACCTGCTCTGCGCCTTCCAGCTGATTTTCAGCCCGTTTGAGGCCTTTTTTGGCCTGCTAGAGGCTTGAGGGAAGCCTCTGCAGGTTTTGCAGGCCAAAAAATGGGCCTGTTTTGTCACCTGTATTTCCGGAAATACAGGAAGTGATGAAACGGGCCTATTTTTCGGCCTGCAAAGCCTGGAGAGGCTTCCCTTAAGCCTCTGGCAGGCCGAAAAAGGCCCCAAAATCAGCTGGCAGGCACGCGCATGCGCAGTGAGTTAAATTTGCCTGGGGCTTGCATGCTGTGTGCGCCACGTGTGCCATAGGTTTTCCATCATGGGCATGGGGAGTGAAAAGGTTGACATATCGGGAAGCAAGTCCTCAAGCACCCCCTTATAGCCCGTTTTGCGGGTTGAAATGGAAGATTAGTGCAGTATATTCTGAAGAACATGAAAGATAATGGAAACAATAGGTAATCCTCAGTTTATGACCGTAATTGAGACCACAATTCTGGCTGTAAGTTATGACGGTCATTACATATATTTTTGTTTTGCAGTGGTGGTTAAGCAAACTTGTAGTTGTTTACCTTGTTAACCAAACCCAGTTTGCTGGGGGATGTTTGCTGGAAATGGCACAAATTGTAGTCATGAGACTGAAGGTGGCCTAGAGATCAGAACTTTTCCAAATCCTAACTTCAAATAGTCTCTAAATGAGAGGTCGCAAGTCAAGGACTACCTGTATAGAAGTCTTTTAAGAATGACTTTTAAATGATCTTTTTGCAACATGATCTTCACATTCTCAAACTAGAATGTGGCCATTGGACACAATAAAAATCTAGGTAAGCAATTTGCATAGGAATGAGACATTAATTTGTGTTGTGTAGGCATATATGTAATCAGCCAGCGCCCTTTCTTTTAGACACTAGCTTTAAAACCAAAACTGCACTCTAGTTTTTAAATTTGTTTCACAGCTTGTGGCAATCACATGTCTTGTTTGATAACTTTAGAATGTGTGAAATTGTTCAGAGTCACCATAATTCATCAAAAACAAACACATGGCCCTGGGATAAATTGCTTAACAACTTCTCCTCTTCCAGAGAAACTGTCCAATTTTACAACTCCAAAGATCTACCGAAACAGCCAAGATTTAATAACTTTATGGAACAGCATAAATATGGAGTGGTCTGGTGGCCTAGAGGTGACTCTCACTTCACAATAAGGAGGCTGTGAGTTCGATCCTAGGTAGAGGCAGATATTTCTGTCTGGGCACAATGAGCATATATATCTGCTGAACGAAACTCCACCGGCCAGTAAACTTGCAGATTCATTCAGTTGCCCAGAGTCCACCTCGCAAGGGTCATTAAAAGAGGGTGGTGATGGTAAGTATGGAGGACATTCCAATTTCCAGGGACATCTTATTTCATGGAAGCCGGGCCACAATAAAAGATCTGCTTCCAAAGTCCCATTGATGCTGTGAAGCCCAAAGGTCACCCTTGAATTTTATCAGATGGGCAGAAGTGGTCCCAAACCATGAAGGACCTTCAAAAGAAAGGACCTTCAAGAAGACAATCGGCACCGGGAGTCAACTAGTCTTCCATGGATTCATTCAACCAGCATCCATAACTACTTGAACCCTTCTGTTCTGGGTGTATCAGGTACTTCAGAATGTACTTCAAGAGGAACTGCACATGAAAGACATTGCACAAAGTCCAAATGAGAAAGGACAAAAGGTGTAACTGAACAGGACCTCCCAATCCAGGAAAAATAAGTGATGCACAAACACCTCTTTCTGCAGGACACCCTCTCTTTAAAATAATACACATCTGTAGTCATCATCATTACACCCTTCTCCTGCACCCTTCCTTTGGTTGCAGTCAGCAGCACATGAAATGCACCCACCAGAAACCAGCACAGACTTAATTGCATACAGGATTTATTTGCCTTTTGCAAAACACCCAGTAAGACCAAACAACTGGTAGTAAATGGAAATACACTGTGTGGCAGAGTCGAGTTTCCACCTGGAATCTTTTAATCGAAGCAGAACAAGCCACCCTCAGTAGATAAGGCAGGTGAATTTGTAACAGCAGCCAAGAGTTTTAAAACTGCAATTATGTTTTTTTTTTCCTTCTGGCAGGCAGCTCAAGTTCTTTTTAAATTAGGAATGCAATATGAAACAGATCCCTTTTCTTTGGGGAAAAAAAACAAGTCACCTTTTGTGACGCTGATTGGCAACTGACTTATTCGTGTATAACTTGAAGAGAACTATTGAAGTTCGTGCTCTCGTTTTTCTTAAAAACTCAGAACTCCGGGAAGGGGGGCTTTAAATTCTCCACTTGTGTTCCCAGGAGTTTCTTCTGACAAAAATAGTAAATGCTTGTTCTAAAACTACAGAGTAATTGGACCTTGCAAGAAATGCGAGTTTCTGCAGGAGGTTTGTTTAAAAGGATGAAATATTATCACAGCATATATTTGGCCCATTCAACATACAGCATATTTGCTGGTATGATAATAGGTGACTTTGTGGCTTAAGCTGATCTAAATTCTTACCAATGTGGCTTCCAGTTGGATGTGTGGTAGACCATTTCCAGAAAATCAAATCCTTGAAGACACACTGGATGGATTTAAGTTAAAGTGAAATTGGAGGTTCTGTTTTTATTTTGCTTCTATGCTAATAAGTTTAGTTTTTATGTGGGGGCTGTTTTGTAATATTCAGTCTTCTAATGGTTGACGCACCAGGAGTTTTTTTTAACCAAATTATACACTCATATATATTGCAATTGTATGTGACAATGGCACACTACCAAAAAATCACCTATATTTTGGTTTTCAACCCCAGGAAGTATCTTAAGTCCAGAAGAGTTGACATTGTGCATATGCAACCTGTGCGGTTCTCATTTCTATAACACTTCAGGGTTTTTTTTTTCCCAGCAGAACTAGAATTGTTGAGTTGCGTAACAAAATTAATTTATAAACTGGTTGTGAGAGACTCTCCCTCCAGAGGGAACTTGGCTCAGGGCGAGAGGGAATCAACCAGATTCCAACTCAGTAGGACGAACCAAATGGATCCAACCCATTTTACAGAAAATCTGCCAATCCTGAGCCAAACTACATCTTGTTCCCTAAGAAACATTAAAAGGACGACATCATGGGGGAGGGGGGGATATTATTTCGATGCCCCGCTGTACTTTTTAAGGATATTGAGAAGAAAAAGACTTATATTTTGCCCGATGTTCATCAATTTCCTTTTTAGTTTCTTCAATACGACTAAAGATCTCCTTGAAGAGAAGTTTGTATTCTGGAGACACGTTGGAAGAGAAGTTGGCTGAATCAGCAGTCAGGGCATCGGGTTCCCTAAGACCCCCATTGAGGGGTACGCTCCCGCCATGGACATCTTTGGGACGCTGTCTGGAAGTCTGCACAGCCTTGTGGTCCAGCAATTCTTTGTCCCTTTGGCACTTCTGCAGAAGCTCTTCATACTTGACCTTCAAGGCGTTGTATTGGGCGTCGACCTCGTTGAGTAGAGAAACGCCCCGTTGCTTGACCGCTTCTGCCCTCCTGATGCAGGTCTCTTCGTGGCCTTTGAAGAGGAGGTCCTCGCCCGCCGTGCTGCTAAGCAAGCTCTCGCTGCTGCTCCTTTTGAGGGACCTCTTCTCAAATTCAGGAAGGATGAAGGACGTGCCGTCCCAAAGACCATGGTTGAGTTCTTTTTCTAAGGGTTCTTTGAGGGAAATGAAAAAAGATTCCGGGGCCAGTTGCTCCATTCTATTTGGACAGGGGCTTCCAGAATGAAAGAGCTGCTTCATTTCGGCCACTTCCGTCTCCAGTTCCTCCGCTCTCGCCTGGTACACATGGATGTCCACCAGCTGTTGCTCCAGATCTGTGTTTTCCTTCAGCAGAAAACCGTACTCTTCCTCCATAGACAATCTCTTTTCTTTCTCTACGCTGAGCTGAGTTTGTAGGAGAGTTACGGCCTTCTTCAAATTCTGGTTTTCCTCTTCTACGGGACTTAGTTGACTATCCATTGATATAATCTTTTCTGCAAATATATGATCATAGACAAAATACCTAGGGATACACAGAAAGAGAGAAGGGGAAGTGCTTAGTTCGTTTTTGCCCAAGGAATCTCATTCCCATCGCATTTGAAAACATCAATCGCACGGTTACATTACATCTGGAAGAAATCGCCCCAAAGTAAAAAAGATTTATTTAAACCTGGAATATCGGTTTAGCATTTCAAACATCAATTTTCAATCAAAGCATGCCACGGCGTCCTCCTCGCATGGAAACCAACCATTGGGAATTTTTGGCGGGAATGTTGGCGTGTGGTCAACATTAATTTTCAAGGTCCTCCATATTCTCGCTTGGTGAGTTTACTACTTACTTGCGGAGATCGTACAGTTCTTTCAGGCATGGGAAACTCTGGACCGACTTGGGCTGCTCGTAGTTTACGTGGCTTTGCCCAGAGGTCTTCAACTCTTCCACCTGCCTCTGAAGTTCGTCAATGTGAGTCTGGAGGTTCTCAA